TGACAGTATCGAATTGGAAAAGATAGATAAATAAAAGGAAGACATGGCTAAGGTTAGGTTAGATATGACTGAGTAAAATTTGATAAAGTTAGGTGAAGTTAGGCCAGGTTTCATAAAAGTAGAAAATGCGTACCTCTGAGTTCCATTTCTACTGGATAGCTTTGTGTATTGCAGGTCTTGCTGTTCCCAGAATTTGTCGATAAACTGTGGCCGTTTTTGCTATGAATATGAATAAGGAGTAAAAATCGGTAACAGAGTAACACTCCGTCAATTGCGAAAATTTTGATTTTTAAACAATTTTGCCTTTCAGGACCAAAAAGCTATTCAAACTTGTGTTTTTAGCAGATGAAATTAGTTACAAAAATATAAATTTTAAAGAGCTTGAATTGATTTTTGCATCACGATATGCTTATTTAACGCTTCATAGCTTATATTCTAGATTTAGACCAGTATATTTTTAACTAATAGTTAAGTTCAATTTTAAATTTTAAATTCCAATTAACTCGACAATTCGCATACTCACCTTCGTTTTAAACTTTATAATTCGATATATGAAATTCTCTCTCGGGCATTTGTCGCTCGCATTCGATACGAGTTCCGCTTCTTGTTCATCTGTTGCATGTTCTTGACGCCTAAAAGTAGACAACACTCACTTTGTTCATATGCAATGAATGCATAACATATGCTCAAAAGGTGAAAACAAATAAAAAAATTGCTGCCGCTAGCATGCTCGTACGTGAATGAACGCAAACCACCATCAATATCAACACCAACACATTAAATTTAATATACTCATGTGCATGTAGAAAAAAGAGCATATGTTTATGCATTTGTGCTTGCAAAAGGGGTTGTTACAATGTTTTATAGCGCTAAACATGGTACGCTGGCAAACAATGCAGTTAATGAGCATCGTACATCTTTCCCTCGCTCCACTTTCGGTTCTACAGCAAGAGAACATGTTGCATGTCAAACATTTGTACATAGTACCTTTTCAGGCCACTGAACTCATAAGTATTTACTTACATATATGTATTTAGCATATCATAGCATAGCCTGCTTGTAAGTGCCACATCTCTACCCTACCCACAATGACTGGCAGTTGTGCAAATCGGCGCCGGTTTAGACGCTGTTGCATCGTTTTCGTCAGCAGTTCAAGTATGTCTCATCTGATTGTGGCTGAAGATGCACTTTTTGCGCCACTGTTGTTGTGTGTTCGTGCAGAGATAAGTGATATTTATGTTAAGCTAAGGCGCTTGCGGTTGCAACTAAGTATTTAGGTAGGTACATATGTATGTATGTTTACTATCTAATACAGTCTGCCAAAAATTTTCTTGTGTCTGCTTGTTGCTGCTGTGAAATGGTGGCACAGTGCGGCCTGTATCTGGTTGGCTAAAAGCATTCGCTGCCCGAGGTGACCCAATTAGGCGTGGTAGCGTAGCTTGTGCTGTTATGTAGTGAGTTTTGATTTATTCAGGACTACATGAAATTTTGGCATAGCCAGTCAAGTGGGATGAATGTCTGAGTTTATATTTTGAAGTAGTTATTTATGGGATAAGCGTAACTACTAGTTGCGTAGTTAAGAGGTGTCGGTTTTGTGAAAAAAAGAGCACAAGGCAACCCTTGCTTGCAAGAGAAATATATACCCGTTCTATTATTTCTTGAAGAAAGAGTGAGGCAAGAGGCTGGTGAAATATCAGATGTCAAAAATTCCTTGGACACACACACGAAATAATCGACTTTTTTTCCTGACCGTTTTCTTGAGAGCTGCATACTGGCCAATAGGCTGAAAGATGCAAAGCAAGAGGATTGAACCGAGGAGCAAATCAGCTCTAAGGCTTGAGCAGAATCTTTCCTGGAGAATCTTCGGGAAAAAGCTAAAGCTGACCTCAAAAAGTGGAAGCGCACGGAGGAGCAAACAAGCAAGGAGCGCAAAAAATCCCTTGCCGACGTGGCGAGCGAATCGCTTGTCTATGCTGTGATCGACCGATACGCTGTAAATTGGGACCTGGTAGCTGGGAAGCTCCGAGCTTCCAACTCATGACCGGAAGGCTGTGAAGTTGGAGGAGCCAATGGGCAGGCGAAGAGTGCCAGTGATTGTTCTCAATAACGAATCACTTACCTCCTTATCCAACCTCAATTGGTGGATGAACTACGGCTTTCAAGCGCCATGTTTATCGACAGGAAATCGAGCCTTAACCGCCAAAATAACGTAAGCGAATTTTTTTTAATTTTTTTATGCAGAAATGCTTTAGGAAAATTTCTGCATCAAAAAAAAAAATTTTGAAAAAAATTTCGCTTACGTTATTTTGGTGGTTAAGGGTCGATATGTCGAACAAACCGAATGCTCTATGGACTGCAAAGTCGCGTCCAGCTGCGACACGGTGGGTCAGCGATAGGTCAGACGACGTCAGATCGCTGACCGATAAACTTGGCCTTGACGAAGAGGGCATTCCTCCATTATCTGAGGTTGATGATGCCAATTGTATGGTCATAGGACGTCCGGCCAGACATATTGAAAACAATATCAGAAATAAATCTCCACCACAGCAAAGCGGCGTCAGCCGCACTACTCCCCCGTCTCCCTCAAAGGGAAGAGGACAACGTGCTTATCCAAGAACCTTGGGTCATCAAAGATCGTGTTTGCGGCTTAAGCAGTAAAGATTATCAGGTGATCTATACAAGAGACAAAGGTAAACCAAGCTGTGACTAATTAGTAAAGAAAAATATTAATGTCTACTTTCTGACACACTTCAGCGATGCAGACACCACAGTGGCCGCACTAGAAACCTCATTAAGGAAAATTTTGATTGCCTCGTGATACATGGCACATGGCAAGCCAGGTCCGCCAGCACTAGTCACACAGCTAATAATCGAAGCAAGCAAGCGAATGCCCATCATCATATTTGGGGCAGCTGGGACACAGACGATCGAGGTGAGTCACTTTTCGAATTGTTATTAAGCAATAATCTTAGAATATGTAATGTAAGGGATACCCCCAATTTTCTAACTTACGAACGAAGGGAGGTACACGCCTAGAGAATTCGCAAATCGCAAATTCTAGACTCAGCAGTAAGCTAAAACGTGTGCTGTTTCTTCAAAGAGCTTGAACTGAGATAACGGACGCCCTTTAATAAAAGTTTTTAATGAACGAAAAGTGTTAATTGCTATTAAAGTTATTTTCAGAGGATACCTGTGAGTTCTTTTGAAATTACCACAATTCAATTATCTACGTTCTGGGGAATGAGTTAAAATATCTATAAAACAGAGTGTAGCTTAATTTTATTAGCAACAGCAGACAAATTAAAAAGCGCAAGGGAATCGACGGGAGGGTGGTTGCTGGGGCAGAAAGCAAACAAATATATTGTAGACACAGTAAAAGCTTAGGCACATTTTCGTGACTGTATGTATGTATGTGCAATTAATTTGCAAGAAGTTAAAATAACCAGAAACGTGATACTTGAAGGTTAAACAAAGTACGCTCAAGGAGAGCTTTGGCAATCTATAGTATTTACGAGTATACATAAAATAGGAAGATGCTGCAGGCGAAGGCGTTGAATAAACTGCGCTTGAGTAAATGAAGATGAAGAAATCGGAAAATGATGAGTAAAAATGCAAACATATACAGTTGCCCTTGTTGGCAAAGTAACAGAAAAGCCAGAAGGTAAGGGGTGTACTTGTGAAGTCATCATATTACTTTGTGGCCATGGGAATAAAGGTCGAGCAGCTGGGGTAGATAGGCACACAAACACATTTCGAATTATATTTGATCTGCGATGCGAAATGCGATACAACTTTTGATTTCTTTATATGGAATGAACTGTTCAGTTTTGTTCGAGCATGTCCTATGAAGACAGTAAGTGTTCCCCTTTATACCCAAACTAATATGAAAAGAAACTAGTTCCAGGTAGGTGCGATTCGAACCGGTGATAGTAAGCTTGCTGGGCGAATACTCCCGCCGCATTAGAAATGTATTTGATTAATTGCGTAATAAATACCCAAATGTACTGCACTCGGACTAGTCTCTGAGTATATAAAGAACGCGTGAGTAACAGTTGTGGAAATCATTGGACGATTCAGCTACATACATGCATATATAAATAGGTTTGGTTACAAATTGAACATTAATTTCATTACATTTTATCCATTTTGTCGGGTCCAGTGGGCGATTTTATTCTAACCACTTCGCGAATAGTTCAGGACTATTTCAGGTTCATTTTGTGACTGATTTCGAACTACCCCAAAGTAGTTTGTCATCAGTGTTGCCAGAACTTTTCAGGGCGACCGGCTAGATTGGACAAAAAAAACGGCTAAAAACGGCTAAAATGTTTCAACCAGAATTAAATTTTTTTAAATACATAAACTACAATTAGAAAGACTAGTAAATCCGTTGAATTTTTTTTGGTTAATAAAGATTATTTATACGTAGCTAAGCTGTACACCACTTTATTTTTGTTTAACAAAGGAAACTGTCGTTATACGTAGCTAAGCTTTACATCAGAAGTCATGTTTGTATTACTTAAATATAAAAACAGAGATAAATTACAAAGTTATGGCGTTTTCTTTTCTATTAAACAATTTTGCCTTCTTATAAATATTAGATTTTTGTCCCGCAAAATAGCTATATTAGCTGAGAGTATGGCACTTTTGCTTAGTCGGAGGGCAATATTTTGAGAAATGAACACGTAAAGCTGTGAAAGCAGAAGGTAGTTTAATTTATTGACATTCGCTGTTGTTGCCGACCACTTCACTTTTAACACAAGTAGAAAAAAATTTGAAGTTAGTGAAGTTCGATCAAAATATTAAAAGTGTTGCGCGTTTCCAAACTGCCAGAATTCGGTACACCTGAGCAAACGTTCAAATATAAAGTTTTCGCTTTTCCGAGGTAGGGTACGTAGGTTGATAACAAATTGCTGACGCAAAATATCTTTAAACCTCTGAAAGATGTACCATTATCCGTGGGACAGGAAAGAAGTCGAGTTAAAATGATGCCTGCAACTTGTAACAGTACCGATTTTTGGATTCTAGGAATTCTCTGATAAAGATGTGGTGCTGCTAAAAATATATATACAAAAATATAAGCACGAAACTATGTATTTGTCACAAGATTTATCCACATAAGATGAAAACTACTGCAGTTTTATTTTATAAAATTTAAAAAGTATTTTTGCACCATGTATTGTCTTCCCAGAGAGTGGAGCAAACATCGAAATTCGTGCTCTTTTATTTTCTAAGTGTAGCGAATAAAACTTCACACTTAAATTTAAGACATTCATAACAAAAATTTTATGAAGAAAATTCCCGCTACGTTCTCCCAAATATAAACTGGGACGCAAAATTGAAGCAAGTTTTGCCTATTTTTTTTTAGTTTATTTAATATTTATTATTTTTTATGAATATGTAGCTCATTACTTAACAAACAACATATACTACAAACAGATTTCACACTTGGTGTTAAAATTATGAAAATTCTGCAAAATTTCAGAAAACTTGTAACTTTTTAATCTGCTAAAATGACGCGTCCCAGTTTATGTATATTTGGGTCACTCGCTTAAAACAAACAACATTGAAATCGGCTCACTATCTGATTGTTTTTCAATTTTATATAACACAGTCCGACATGAAAATTTTCTCAGAGATAAGACCATTTCTAATAGATTTTGGAGCACTAAATTTGTAAAAATAAAAACTTGTATATTTGAATTTTAATAAAATAAGGCAAAGAGCAAAATCGGCTAAAAACGGCTAATTTTTTTTGCAAAACGGCTAACAAATCGGCTGCCGGTTAAATCGAATTTTTTCCGGCTGTTTGCTATCGCAACCGGCTAAATCTAGCCGGAAAACGGCTAAAATGGCAACGCTGTTTGTCATATTAGACCTAAAACTTTCCTGATGCAGTCCTAAAGTGGTTCTGAAAAAGTCGTTAAGTGGTACCGAAATTTTCTCCAACAAGTCTTGAAACGGTCCGGAAATGGGCCTTTACTACCTGAAAACGAACTCGAATTAGTCCCGAAATCGTCCGCAGCTTATACCGATATGTTCCCTAAATAGTCCTGAAATATTCGTGAATCATCCCGAAATGGGTCTGAAATAGCCCCAAAATTATCCTCAAATAGCCGGGAGGTAGTGTTGAAATGGTCCTAATCTAGTCCCGAAATGGTCCGCAAATTGCCGTAATTAGTCCCGAAACGGTTCCGAAATGGACCTGAAATAGGTCTGAAAGGGGCCTAATATTGCAGTGAACTATCCCGAAGTGGACCTGAAATATTCCTAAAATAGCCGTGAACTGGCCGCGAAATTATCACGAAATGACCCTAACAAAGTTCTGAACTGCTCCCGAAACGATTCCGAACAAGTCTGAAGTGATCCTAAAATAGTCCTAAAATTGCCCTGAAGTAGTCTAGAAGTGAAAATATCGAGAACTTGCTCTGAAATGATAACCAAGAAGTCCACAAATGGTTCCAAAATGGTTCCGTAGTAGTCCCAAAATGATCTCGAACTAGTCCCGAAATGCTCGCGAGATAATACCGATATGTTCCATAAATAGTCCTGAAATAGTCGCAACTATCCCGTAATGGACCTGAAATAGCCCCAGATTGGTTCTCAAATAACCGTGAACTAGTCGTGAAATGGTCCTGATCTTGTCCCAAGACGGTGCCGAAATGATCCCCAAATAGTCCCTAAATGGCCCTGAAATAGTTCTGAACAGGTTCCGAAATGATCCCGAACTAGTGCTGAAGTGGTCCCCAATTAGTCGAAAACCAGTATCAAAATGGTCCTGCAATAGCCCTGTGCTGGTCCAAAAATGCTCATCTTTACATACAAGAAGTAATTACACATTTTCTGCTGGGTTACACAAGAACAAGTTACAGATTTCATACTGGGTTAACGCAAATTTTACCTACACCGAGGACTAAGTTGCTTATAGATCATAAATGAATGTATGGGTGCATGTATTATAACAATACTTTTGCTGAATTAGAGAAAATTAAATTTTCTACCAATTTGGCGTGCACACAGCGCAATTTTAAACACTCATGCATTTGTATTTATGTGTATGTATGTTTGCATGTTTAAGCGTACATCAATTTGCATCCATACGAGCACGTTGCGGAGCAGCCATATTATACCCAACCAATGCAATTAGATTTTAATTAAGCACAAACGCGCGTCACTTACCACAAACAGGATGTTGCGGTGGTGGTGCTGGTCGAGCTGCCGCTGCTGCCGCTGCCGCCGCCAAGTGCATCCTTTGCCATACAACGCCCGAAACAGGAGCCCATTGTTGTTAACGGTGCGAGCTGCTGTGGCAAATGTTCGCTTCCAACAACAAATTCTAAAAAATTGGCTGCTGGTAGATGCGTTTGAGTTTGTTGAATGGTTGCTCCTGCTGCTGCTGTTGCCGCAAAAGCTACTACCACGTTTGGATTATAGCTGCCAGCAAAGTGTAACTCCGTTAGGGCAAAAATAACAAACGCAACATTAGCATAGGAAATCAGAGTTAAAGTGAAACGAACGCTTGTCAGGTGGGATCGGGTAACGTTGATCCGGCTATGGTTACAGCTTCCGGTTGCTGCCGCAAAAGTCAGCTGTGTTTGTGGCCACTTATTCTTCCTTTGACAAGCCAATCTCCCCGCCGCTTTTCGTTGTTGGTATGCTAAACTTATTACACGCACAGCTGCTGCGCTGTTGTTGTGGTTGCTGTGCGCTTTTGTTTTTAGCGTAAACGCTAACTGCTGGGTTGCCGTTGCTGTTGTTGTTGTTGTTGTTGTTATAGTGGCTTTTGCTGTTTGTATTGCATTTAATTTGCTGTTATTTTTTTTTATGTAAGCCCTGTGTGCCTCAAATTTTCCACAACAAATGCAGCAACCGCAACGCCGCCACGTACGCGCATCCATTTGCATAGAAATGTTCGAAATTTTCTTCTGCTGCAGGATAATATTTGCGCAGGAAATCGTCGTTTTTCATAGAATAACTGTAGTTTAAACATTGATGATTCTTTATTCGTTTCTCTTAAGTGCAACACGAAGTATTTGTTTTCGCATTTGTCATTGTTATTGTTGTTGCATTATAGCTCTCTTTGTTATTGTTGTTGTCGCTGGTGTTACATGAACTTGTCTCGCCGCCATTGCTATGACTTGCTGAGTTTGTTAAAGTTTTCAGCGATGGCATTGGCTCAGGTCAAGGATTTCATAGTGGCTTGGTGCTATTGAGCTCCACAAAGTATGCTTTAAGAATTACATATGCTACAGGAAAACAAGTTTTTAACAGCTATTTACAAAGTTTCTGTCATTTATACACAACTTTTGGCAATTTGTTTTTTGCCCCAAACACTTGCACAGTGACACAAACGTACATACACCACTAACTGCAAAGCCACTTCAAAACAAGTCCCAGTACGTACACTCGTCAAGCACCATCAATTAAGGCTAATCAATTTCTCGGGCCGTAATTTTTCATTGCATACTTTTATGAGCCACACAGCTCACACATTCTTTTGAGTACATTTTTTTCCACAAAAACTTCCACGGTGTTGCTCGACTTCACAGTTAAAAACAATTAATTCACATTTCACCCGTCGGCGTAGGAGTAGTTTTTAATAATTTGCTTTTTTCGCCTTTGTTATTTTGTTCACCTGTCACGATTGTGTCACACTCACTTCCATACTCGTTTGTATATTAACACAAAGCAACTCTCAACCACAAATCAACTTGAACATGGTCAAAAGACAAAGGCAAAGGAAGTCAAGCAAAAACAAAGGGGCTCACCCGCAAACACGATAAAAGTGTGTAGTAAAAGTAAAAAGAGAGAGCCTCAAAGGCCCCACCACCTCTGTTAAGAGTCGAAGTCACAATAGCTGTTAGGTGGGGGGAGGCGCTATCTATGGCTCTTGTCGCTTTGAATGCGTCACGTCACTGCATGACACCGACACCAACGCCACAACTCGTGCAACTGGCGTCCTACGTTGTCGAGCATTCAGTTGCAAGCAGTCGTAAGCAGTGTTGCCACACAATTTTTTTATTATTTACCAAAATCACCGAAAAAAGTTACCAAATTCAACAAAAAATTACCAAACTTATTTTATGTGCAGAACTGTACAAACATACATATCGAGCCCTAACCGCCAAAATAACGTAAGCGACATTTTTTTTTTTTAAATTTTCTTTTCTCTGCGTCAAAAATAAAATTTTGAAAAATATGTCGCTTACGTTATTTTGGAAGTTAGGGCTGGATATGTATGTTTGTACAGTTCTGCACATAAAATAAGTTTGGTATGTTTTTGTAATATGTTAAAAGTTCTCAAAATATGGTGCGGCTATAATTTTTTCGACCACTGTATGTAAACAAGTGACAAGAAAATACATCAAAAATTCAACGCTTGAAGGAAAGCTTTCGACTCACACAGAGTGAAGTCCCCCGCTGAATGTCGTAGCTTTTTGAATGAGAACATACATATTTACGTACAATTCTACTCATATATATGGTTTGCGGGTACACCGGTAAATTGATAGTAATTGCAAAGCTGACGAACTGACAGCGAAAGGAAACCTTCCAGGAAAGGATGCGGTGGATATACTTAGCAATAGCCACTGTCAAGCAGTTTGTTAAAGATCACATCATTCTAGTAGCCAAGGAATGCTTGAACAACTTTCGCCTTGCGAAACCTTCAGGATTACTTGGTATTTCTATAAAAGGAAATGCTTACGGGCCACTTACTAATGTGGAATCAGAACGTATATTGACCTATTTGACATATGAGATCGAATCGAAAAAGTTACCAAATTGAAAAATAAATTACCAAACTAGATAAATAAAGCAAAAAATTACCAATTTTGGTTAAAAATTACCAAAGTGGCAACGCTGGTCATAAGCGTGGAAAAAAAGTTCACTACACACACACTGTGCAAACAAAAACGCTAAACTTGCAGGTGTGTGTATGCGAGTTAGTGATTTCCAGCGTGACCAGGCTAAGCGTTTTGAGGCTAGATTTGGCATACATATAATTTTACGCCACAGCCTCAGAACTTCAGGACCGTCTTCGCTACTTTTTTCGGGCCTTTTTTACTTAAAATATTCATAACAAAATTCGAAGCGGATCATTTAAAAATAAATGCCAAGTCATACCAGAAATTCTTAATATTATTTATCGTTCAAAAATTCCAATGACAGCGCAGACTACCATTTCTTTGCGAAAATACTTCCTTAGTATTTTTCTTAGGTTTTTAAAAAAATTATACTAAGAAATTTGCTTTAACGCTTTAAGTACCAGTGGAAACATATTTCCCAAAGAGTGATTCCCCTCATAAGGAAACTGCGTACGTTTAAGTAGACTTATATTTCATATTTTCCATCTGTGCTATTTTGATCAAAAAATTTTAGAATTTTTTTTATCAAAATTAGAAAAGTAGCGAAATAATTTTTTTTTTAAATTTTGAAGTTTTAGAAAAAGCTGCTTTTTAAGATTATAAAGATTATTATTTTTAAGATTTTTGGGAAAAGTAGTTTTTACGAAAAAACAATAAAAAAACAGTTTTTAGGAATAAAATATGTTAACCCAAATTAGAAAAAATTTACCTGATACTAAAAATAAGTATTTTGTGGAGAAAAATAATATTATTGCAGTGAAAGTTATATGTTTCGAGAAAAATTATTTTTGGAAATAAAAATAAAAAAAATTATTTTTTTAGAATAAAAATTTCAGGGTAATAAGTAACTTTTTTATAAAAAAATATGTTTGGTGGAAGATCAATTTAAGATGTTTACTGAAGAAATAATGTCTATCAGAATTATAAAACCATTAACCCTATGCATATAAAAATATTTTTGATGATTTCTTTGGGGAAAAACAAAGTATAAGAACACATGTTTTGGAAAAAATTTATTCACAAAACTCAGAAAAAATAAGAAGACTAATTAAAATTTTTTTGTATAATATAAAAGTTGGAAAATTAGTTTTTAATCAAAATTAAATAACATTCTAACGAACAAATGATTATTTACATTAATTTTTTTTATAAGAACTCGTTTATTTAGACATCGATTAATAAAATTGTTTGGGTTTTCTATTTTTAAACTGAACTCCTTTTTGCATGCCCTGAAATTTTGCATCCGTTATAAGCTTGATTTACGTACATGTGTATGTATGTATGTTATTGTGTGTTTTGATGAGAATGATTTAAAAAATTTTTTCCAGAAAATCGCTATCGCGCAACTTATCGAGTGGGCGAAGAGTTTTTGAGTAATACACTGACTTCTTTATAACTTATTACTTTTTTTAACGTATAGCTTTTTCTAACCTTTTTTCAAAACCAATTTAGCTTCGCTTTTTGTGATCATCTGGTCACACTGTTAATTTCATTGTGCTTTGACTTGGTCTTGCTTTATTTTTGACTCTGGGTGCTCTTCGTGTGTTTTTTTGTTTCAATTTCCCGCCTATAGGTGTTTGTTTTATTTTCGCATGGAGTGCATCAGCTGTTGAGCTGTCAAAGCGACAATGTGTTCGCGTTGCTCCTCAAAGGAGCTTTGTGAGTAGTAAAATGTGGAGCTTGTGCTTTAAAAGCTACCAAAAGGGGTAATTTTCATTGCAAGTGCTAAAACGAGCTTTACGAATATTAATTTTCTCTAAGGTTTGGAACTAACTTTGCGCTTAGGCGGTCCTTCAAATGAAAGTTTTGATTCCAAGCAGTGCTATGTAGTATTTATTCAGAGCTTATTATTAGGGCTGTCCCACTGCTTGATTAATCTTACTTTTAATTACAAATTATTTAAATCACTCAAAGACGCGATTTATTTAAAGCAGAACTCAAATTACGTAAATAATTTTAGTTTTGCTTAAGGGGTTACGAGATCCTAACAGTCGAAAAAATAGGATTAGAAGGAAATAAATTTTTTTCTTACCCAGATTGAACGTTATAAGAACAATCGTATTTAACGTAGATAAGGTTAATATTTCGGATTAATTTTCGAAAATTAAAAAAAACCAAGAAGTTAAAAAAAAGTTTTACATTAGCCTCCTCTTTTTTAAGATTAAAAAAATGTGTTTTTCTTTAACCCTCCGTTAGGCGCGTGGACTACATACGTAATCCAAACATCTTTTAGCAGGGACCAATTAAAACTTGGGTGGAGGATGACATTGCCCGCTTGAATAGCTATCGATGATATACAAAAGTGCTCACTTAGTATACAATTGAGGGGCTAGGCCCACATTTACCACTTTTAGCCACAGTTGAATACGAGTGGACTACAATTGTAATCCACGCGCCTAATTACGTAACATTTTTTGCCAAGTGCACATTTTGGAAGTTTGTCTGTTTGAACACTGAGATAAGTTTTATAATTTTTAAAAAAACAAATCTTAATTCCATAAAAAAATTTTGACTTTGTTCATTATAAATTAGCATTGAATTTTATAACTTTTTTGTAGTGCAAATTCCAACGATTTCGGGTCTCTACATTTCAGTGTTTCCATAAATTAACATTAACTTTTTGTTGTGTATTTGGCTATTTTCGCATATCTAAGAATTTAACTTTGTTTATAAGCAATGTTAAGGCTATTCAGTATGTACAACAAATATTTCACTATAGATATGTCATATGTGGTTTTACATGGAAATTGAAATTTCTGATGCAAAAAAGATACATTTGGAAACAGAAGAAAGCTCTATGGATGAAGAAGATGAAGATAAGCTTAGTTTTTTTATAATTTGGAAATTATTGCTTGGGAGCTAGTAAAACCGCAAACTGAACACCGATTACTAATATGTCAAGAGAAGTTGATCGTCTAGGACGGCATCTACTTTGTATAGAAAAGATTTATAGCCTCCACCAGCCGACATGCCAGAAAATTGCTTTCGGCGAAGTCCACAAGAAATATTTGCCAAACACGTAGTAAATATTCAAAAATGATAGAATACATTTTCTCTCAATCGTGGTAAATAAATATGCATGTAAGAATCATATGAGAGTTGAGAGCATCGCTTATTTGGCAGAGAAAAACATGCTCCATATTTGACTTGTATTTCCTCGTTTATATGCTTTTATATTTCTTCACTGTTCAGTTTGTATTAAGTCTATTATTTAAAATAAAAATGTGAAATTCGTTTAGCTATTTTGATTCCATACTTTGAATTTGCAAATAATTCTTAAGAACCTTCTATTAAACGGCTGAAAACAACACGCATTGCCTGTTTTAATATTTCTCTCATAAAGGTTAGATAAAACCAAAGTCAAAATATGTTTGAGACGTATTAAATAATATAAATAAACATTTATTGGAAACAAATATAAAATTTTTTTTTAAATAAAATATTATAGCACCCAAAGAAGTTGGACTACTATTGTAATCCACGCGACCAACCGCGTCAGTAGAACCCAAGCGCCTAATGGAGGGTTAAGAAGGAAGTAGTCATGCCGATACGCAGGGAAACAATTGCATTTTTTTTTTTAATTTCAGTAGTTTGAATTTAGGATTTATAGATATCCGCTCTCAACATTTATAAAAGGTTCATTTGAAAAAAATAAAAAATTAAAAATAAACTTAATACTTAAAACGCTTATTTAACACGAATAATTAATTAAATATAGCAAGCTTACTTTAAGTTACTATTGAGAACACTTACATACATGCTTGTTGGGAGGTGCGTGTGTTTCCTATATTTTAAACAGAGCAACATTTATTGAGCTTGCGGCGATTCAAGCTTTTAAAGTTTAATGTTAAAACGAACCATTTCATGCGCGCCACGGACACGGTTTTCGAAACGAACGATGAGCTTTTAAAACGAAACGGCACCGGAAATTTGCAAAAGTAGCGACCAGCAACGCCAACGCAACTGGTGGCCATTTTAAATTGGCTGCAAACACCTACATACATAATTTTCACGGATTTTCACTTAATTTTGCAAAACGCGATATTAATACTTGCTTTTTAGTAA